TGTAGAATCCTTAACTTCCTCTTTTTTCTACCCACAAAATTCTCTTTCTAAGTCACCTTTGCAGATGAACCCTTGACATATTTTCTTACATTGATCATTTTTTTAAAGTTTTTTTTAATGGCCAATTTTAAAGTCTTTTATTGAATTCGTTACAATATTGCTTCTGTTTTATGTTTTTTGGCCATGAGGCATGTGGGATCTTAAGCTGTTGCACAGCAAAGGAAACAATAAACAAGACAAAAAGACAACCCTCAGAATGCGAGAAAATATTTGCAAATGAAGCAACTGACAAAGGATTAATCTCCAAAATATACAAGCAGGTCATGCAGCTCAATATCAAAAAAACAAACAACCCAATCCAAAAATGGGTGGAAGACCTAAATAGACACTTCTCCAAAGTAGATATACAGATTACCAACAAACACATGAAAAGATGCTCAACATCACTAATCATTAGAGAAATGAACATCAAAACCATAATGAGGTATCACCTCACACTGGTCAGAATGGCCATCATCAAGAAATCTAGAAACAATAAATGTTGGAGAGGGTGTGGAGAAAAGGGAACCCTCCTGCACTGTTGGTGGGAATGTAAATTGATACAGCCACTATGGAAAACAGTATGGAGGTTCCTTAAAAAACTAAAAATAGAACTACCATATGATCCCACTACTGGGCATATACCCAGAGAAAACCATAATTCAAAAAGAGACATCTACCACAATGTTCACTGCAGCACTATTCACAATAGCCAGGACATGGAAGCAACCTAAATGTACATCAACAAATGAATGGATGAAGAAGATGTGATACATATATACAATGGAATATTACTCAGCCATAAAACGGAATGAAACTGAGTTACTTGTAATGAGGTGGATGGACCTAGAGTCTGTCATACAGAGTGAAGTAAGTCAGAAAGAGAAAAACAAATACCGTATGCTAACACGCATATATGGAATCTAAGAAAAACAAAACAAAACCGGTACCGATGAACCTAGTGGCAGGGCAGGAATAAAGATGCAGACGTAGAGAATGGACTTGAGGACACAGGGGAGGAAGGGGAAGCTGGGACGAAGCGAGAGAGTAGCATTGACATATATACACTACCAAATGTAAAATGGATGACTAGTGGGAAGCTGCTGCATAGTACAGGGAGATCAACTTGTTGCTTTGTGACCACCTAGAGGGGTGGGATAGGGAGGGTGGGAGGGAGGCTCAAGGGGGAGGGGATATGGGGATATATGTATACATATAGCTGATTCACTTTGTTGTACAGCAGAAACTAACCCAACACTGTAAAGCAATTATACTCCAATAAATAAATAAATATATAAAAGAAGGGGAAGTTGAGCTTTCACCGATCTTCCGACTATATCTCCTTGAATACTTATCCTGTTGGCATTTTTAGCTTATTAATGTAACTATTTTTAATTTGGTTGAATTTTTATAGCCATTGAAATGGAAAAATATTAAAGCTAAGGAATCAACATAAGAACAGACTTTGTTCATCTATTGTTTTTACTGTTTTAGTAATATTAGTGTTGAAAATTTGAAGTTTGTTTAAGCATACTATAAGCAAAATAATTTAGTAATTCTGCTAACGTGGTTGGGGAACATTATTTTCAGTGTAAGATGAAATACTAGTGAAATATTAAGGATTTTATGAAAAGTATGAATGGAACAGTACAGACTCACAATTTAAAACAGTATGTTCTGATCCCTTTCCAAGTCCACTGAAGGTGGTCTAAACTTAATGACTGGGGTAGTATAACTAGGCATTTTCTTAACACTGTATTTAGAAAAATAGATGTTATTATAATGAACTCTCAGCTTTTAATGTCATGTTTTGTGGGGTTTTTGTCTTTGAAAAATCTTCGCATAATGAAAGTCACAATTACTTTGTTTTCTTCTAGAACTTTATAGTTTCCACGTTTACATTTATGCGCATGACCTTTTTCACGTTGATTTTTAGATATAGTATGAGTATGAGCTAGGAATCAAGAGTTTTTTGTATTGCTTTGTTTTTGCATATGGATTTCCAAATGTTCCAGCATTGTTTGTTGAAGACTACCTTCTGTCCATTGAGTTACCTTGAGAACTTTGCTAAAAGTCTGTTATTCATACGTGTGGTTTGACTTCTAGACTATATTGTTTCATTGACCTGTCTATTCTTATGCCAATACTATATACTTGATTACTCTAGCTTTATAATAAGCCTTGAAATCACGTAATATGAGTCTTCTTTCTTTCCAAAGATGTCTTGTTTATTCTAGGTCTTTTGCATTTCCATGTACATTTTTGAATCACATTGTCGAATTCTACACAAATGTCTGCTGAGATTTTTTGTGGGTGATTGCAATAAATATATAGATCAATTTGAGGAAAACTGATATCTTAACAGTCAATATTGAATCTTTCTATCTGTAAATACAGTATATCTCCTCATTTTTTTAGATATTTTGTGAAACCCATTTATGGGGTCTAGTAGATTTTTTTGTAGTCTTTGAAATCTTCTGTGTGGAAGACCATGTTATCTGCAAATAAAGACAATTTTATTTTCCTTTCCTGACTATATGCTCCACCCCCCCACTCGACCCCACCCCCCACCTTATTTTGTTTTCCCTACTGCACTGGCTAAGATCACCAGTACAATATTCACTAGGAAGAGCAGAACAGACATCTTTAACATTTCCCAATCTTGCGGCACACATTTAGTCTTTCACCATTAAATATGCTAACTTTAGATGTTCTATAGATGTCCTTCAACAATTTGAGGAAGCTGCCCTTTATTCCTAGTTGCTGAGTTTTTATTCTAAATTGATGTGGAATTTTTGTCAAATAATTTTCCCCCATCTATAGAAATGACCATATAGTTATTCTTTTTAGGCTATTGGTATGTTGAATTATACCAAAATTTTTTTGTACATTGGACCAAACTTGCATTCTTGAATTAAACTCTACTTAGCCATGATGTACTTTTTTTTCCAAAATATTTCTAGACTTGATTTGCAAATAGTCTGTTAAGGATGGTTGTGGCTATGTTCAGGAGAAATACTGGTCACTAATTTTTTTTTTCTTGTAATGTCTGTCTGGCTTTAGCATCAGGATAATGGTAGACTCATAAAATATGTCAGGGATCCTTCCTCTTCTCTTTTCTGGAATAGATATTGTAGAATTGGCTTTTTTCTTTTTAATTTAGTTGTATTCAAATCTTTTCAATAACTTTTAAGTATCTTTAGAATCTGAATATGCCTAGTGCTTCTTTTTCTTGCCTCATTGCACTGGCTAGCTCCTCTAGTAAAAAGCTGGAAAAAAAAAAGCTGGTGAAATGTTAAACCAGGAGGTGTTAAATCTGAAATGAGATTTTTATAGAAACCCATTATCAGATCAATGAGGCTGCGTAGGAGCTGTAACAGTGGAAGGATCAAATGGGAAGTCTATGAGGTGGGAACTGTGAATCTTTGTTAAACCTATATAAGGTCCATACCTGTCACTATATAAAACCCCCTCTTCACTAAATTTCTCTATATTCCCAATATGATCCCTTGGCCTTCTCATGTCTCCATAAGAGCCTGTTAGGACATCTTCTATGAGGAACCCTCAGAGTAGCTCAACCCATGAGGTGTACTCTTAGGCCTTCTATCCCAGATCTGAATGGCCAGTTATATCTGATGACAGTGCTATCAACTCAGTGTTAATAATGAGACCAGAAATTTGCCCACACAGGTTCCCACATCCCTCTCCATCAGGTATGCCCTCTCCCCTGCAGAGATTCTCACCCAGTTTCATAATAGATAGTTCAGCCATGCAGGAAGGGGATAAGGTGGGCATGAAATGTGAAGGAATCAAGTAGGAACTAAGGGAAGAACAATGTGAACATGGGTAAACCATGTTTTACCATATAGACACCCTCATCCTTGCCAGGTATGCTCTCCTGCAGAGCAGCTCCAGCAGGAGTCTTCATTTTAAGTCGCTCATGCAGGAATATGTGGCACCACAGGAAGGAGGGCAGGAGAAATTTTAGAGGTATTAAGTTCTCAAATCTATGGCAGGCATGAATTCTTACCCCAAGAGTTTTCCTTTGTTAAGTGTCCTCAGTTCCGGGTAGAACAGTTGCAGCTGCAGGACAGGGGTCATAAAGGAACTAAAGTGACATTAGACAGGGTCTTTATGTGCAAACACAACGGCTTATATAAATGTATGTAAAAAATAATAAAAGTATAATAAAATCTCACTTTAACATACCAGGAATCAAGACTACCATGGTCAAAGACAGTTAAATCAATCAGTCATAGGAATGGGGTACATAAGCAGAGTATCCGGACTGCAAAGCAAGTTCAGATGTATCATATTACTCTTAGCATCCTGTTATAGGACAATAGAAAGATGAAAAGAACTAATATTAACTGAAAGTGTGCTCTACACTGTACATTTATTTACGAATAAGAAAAAATATTCAGATGGGTAAAGTAGGCTTGCCTGAAGTCACACAATCTTTTGAGTAGTTGAGCCAGGATTAAAACCCAAACCATCTGGTTCAGTACCAAAGTCTTTCCACTATACCAAACTCCCAGTAAGGGAGAGTAAAGAGGAGATTTGGTCAAGAAGCATCAATTTCAAGGTCCAGGGTCCTTCCAGAGATACAGATCAACTTATATGCTTGAGATGGGAAAATGTATAATTATCACCTTTACTGAATCTGATCAACCTATCTTTCCATCTTTGTATAAGAATTTTACATGTATATTTAGGGATCATGTTAAGCAACCCCCCCCCTTTTTTTTTTTGGCTGCTCTGCACAGCTTGCAGGATCTTAGTTCCCTGACCAGGGATTGAACCTGGGCCACAGCAGTGAAAGCACCAACTCCTACCACCAGGGAACTCCCAAGCCCCTCCTTATTAATACAGTTTCTAGGAATTGATTTTTTTAACTCAAGTTTTCTTCATGTCCTTTATAGGGAATTACTGTACATGGCCAAAATAATGGCAAGCTAATATTAGCAATTTCACAATGTGTTTATTGTTATGGTATAATAAGGAATATGTAATTTGACAATATTCTATATACATAATTTGTTCTACTGACCATTCAGTTCATGACTTTAAAAGCTTTACATGCCATGGTGAAATGTCCTTCATTTATGTAATTATTTCCCATCATCTTTGCTGAGTTAGGTATCACCACACTACGGACACGAATTCTCTTGTAAAATTTTCTCTATAAAGATGTTGTCCACAAATTTATCAAATTAATCACGTTTCTGTTGTTTATTAAGGCTTGAACTAATACTGAAAGCTTGTCTGTGTTTTTAGTTTATTATGATTTTACCACTGCTGTGAATTCTCTGATGTACAGTGAGTTGTGATTTCTGGATGAAGGCTTTCCCACATACAGCACACTGATAAGGTCTTTCCCCTGTATGAATTCTCTGATGTAAAACAAGGTCTGACTTCTGAGAAAATGCCTTTCCACATTCAGCACATATATAAGGTTTCTCTCCTGTATGAATCCGCTGATGCCCTGGGAGGTGCGACTTTTGAGAGAAGGCTTTCCCACATTCAGTACAAACGTAAGGTTTTTCTCCTGTGTGAATCCTCTGATGTCCAATGAGATGTGATTTCTGACAGAAGGCTTTTCCACATTCACTGCATTTATAGGGCTTTTCTCCAGTATGCGTTCTCTGATGTATAATGAGCTGTGACTTCCGGGAGAAGGTCTTCCCACACGCAGTACATTCGTAAGGTTTCTCCCCAGTATGAATTAACTGGTGTGTAATGAGTTCTGTCTTCCTGCTGAAGGCTTCCTCACATTGAGCACATTTGTAGGGTTTCTCTCCAGTGTGAATCCTTTTATGTATGATGAGGTGGGACTTCTCACAGAAGGCTTTCCCACATTCAGTACACTCATAGGGCTTCTCTCCAGTATGAGCTCTATGATGTATAATCAGCTGTGACTTCTGGGAGAAGGCCTTACCACACTCTCTACATTCATAAGGTTTCTCTCCAGTGTGAATTCTCTGATGTATAATGAGGGGCGATTTCTGGGAGAAGGCTTTCCCACAGTCACTACATTCATATGGTTTTTCCCCAGTATGAACTCTTTGATGTATAATGAGGGATGATTTTTGAGAGAAGGCTTTTCCACATTCAGAACATTCATAAGGTTTCTCCCCAGTATGAATTCTTTGATGTACAATAAGGTGAAACTTCTCACTAAAAGCTTTCCCACATGCACCACAATTGTATGGTTTCTTCCCAGTATGAATTCGTTGATGTACAATGAGCTGTGACTTCTTAGCAAAGGCTTTTCCACATGTAATACATACACAGGTTTTCTCCTTAGTTTCAACATTCTGATACTGAATAAGGGATCGTTTCTTGCTGAAAATGTTTCCACACTCATTATCATCACAGGGAATTACTCGGTTGTGAATTTTCTCAAGATCAGGATTGGACACACCATGGATGGATGATTTTCCACATCCAAAACTCTCATCAGGGTTTTTTCCTGAATTGCTCTTATTACAACTAGGTAGGTCAATACTAGATTTCAAGTCATTTTTAAATGCATCACAGTTATGGGGTCTTTGTCTTGAAGTATCTGACCCTATGCATTCTTGAAATATTTTGCCCAATGCATTATATTTGTGGTCTGACTCCACAGTCATTGTTTTGTTGTTGATGACTGTTACTTGTCTGAAAAGTCTGTTTTTCTGACATCTCTGTAGGTGGCCATCACCTTGACAGACTTTTAATATGGAGTAAAATGAACCATCCTTTGTGACTCCTTTCAGTATCTTATTATGGAAGGAAACAGACCCCAAAATACATGATTGGGTGTTGTCAAGGTTACTTTTCCTGTCTAAAGGAAAGAAAGATAAAATAAAACAGTCATAAAGAATAATTAACAGAATGCGAGGAGTATAAAAAATGACTGATCCAATGAAGGTGATGAACTCAAAACTGGGATGAGACAGGCCATTTCATAAGACAGACAGCAAATAGTATGATGAGGGAAATGGTTAGACAAGGATGTTAAAGCGAAATATTTATGGAAAAACTATACCTAAAGGAGATAGAAAACTATCTGAGTTATTATCACTCTAATCTTGGATTACTCTTCTAGAGTCTTCCCATTTCTCCTGCTGTCTGAAGGGAAATGCTTTTCACCTTTCAAATGCGTTTATTTTATAATTTGCTATATATACTTGACTAGTATTATCCTGCCACCACTAGCCAAAGAAACAAGGTCTCTTCTGTATTCAAAATACTTTAACTCTCCTCAGTCTACTTTCTTAAATAACGACTAATACAAACAATAGAAAAACCCAAAATCCTGCTGTGGATTCAGTATCAGATTCACACCAAGAATCCAAGCTTGAATTCCACAGTTCCCCATAAATTCTTTCTCTACATTATCAAATAAAACTAGCAAAGTTCTCCCAGAAAAGCCATATTTCCCTAACTTCAAGGTTTTGTTCATATACTCTTCATGCCCACCCCCCATCAACAGTTTGTCTTCACCTCCCTCTCTCAGCATCATCAATACTCAATATATCTTTCAAAGCAGCTACAGCTGCATGCTCTGAAAAATGCTTTTTCAAATTCTGTTTCGTTTCTTTAGACTCTAATTTTCTCTGAACTTTTAAAAACAGTAGCAGTATTTGACATTTAATTCTGTAATGCAACCTGTGTTCTTAGAAGGAATTTGTCTTCTATTGCCTATTAAGCCTTTTCATAAAATGCATTAAATATATTAAACAAATATTTAATACATAATATATACACATACAATCAATAAGAAATAGCAATCCCCTATAAAGGTTCACAGTTATTTAATTGATTAATTATTTGTTGAATGCCTACTAAATTCTCAGCATAGGAACAAAGAATAAGAGAATTCACTAAGGAGAGAAACATAAGCCTCAGGCATCAATCAATTAAAAAAAAACCTGATATTTCACTTCCCTTGTCGCCCATCTGCCTGATCTTCATATGGATAGATCCAATTTGGTATGTCTCTCTTTATGATCCATGGATCTTCTCCTTGTTCCAACTTGGAGATGACATCTGGTTTGGAAACTGGATGCCCTATTAAATGGAAATCAGAGGAACTGGGATAGACTGCACAGAAGGCAAAAGAGAAGGTGCGGTTTAAGGAGGTCTACAATGAAGTAGTACATTTGGCCCTCAGCAAAGTAATGACCTCCATTGGGGAAGGTACGAAGATCATAAAAGTCATTATATATGTCAGGAACCACCTAACCACAGAGACTGATAAGGAAAGGCACTTGATTGGACAAGTCTGAGTTATACAGGGAAGTCATCCTTACCCATTGAGACCAGGTGGCTGTAGTTCTCCAGCATCACATCCCTGTACAGGGTCTTCTGAGCAGGGTCCAGTTGCTGCCACTCCTCCTGGGTGAAATGCACAGCCACATCCTTGAATGATACTAACCCCTGTAACAGTATATTCCTGTTAATCTAAAGTGATCATTCTTATCATCTCTAATATAGTATGCAAAACTATACCTACATCTAGTTTTGTATCAGAGTATTTGGGAGAACCAATGTAAAATCCTGCCTTTGGCAAGAAGACCCAGACAGTACAGGAAAACAGAAGAGGTAAATCATAAAATGCCTACCTAATACAAATGGTAATTTAAGGGCAGCATTAAAGCAGCTGAGAGGAATTTTGGAAAACAATTCAAGTATGTAATAATAAGGAAACAATTACTTAAATTTGATGGAATAATATACAGCTCTTTCAACATGTGGAAATACTTACATGAAAGAATAAATAAAAAAAACAGCATAAGTTAATATGTACACACTGAATATAACTATGAAAGTGTATCTCTGCGCACTAATAAATTAGAAAAGAAATAGCATTACATAAAGATTTGAGTTTAATATAAAAAAAAAACATACAGCTGAGAAGAAGATGTATTATTCAATGAATAGTACTGAAACAACTGGACAGTTAACAGGAAAAGAATAATGTTGAAGCCATATGTTAGAGACTGAATTGCATACCCTGAAAATTCGTAAGTTGAAGTCCTAACCCCTAGTACCTCAGAATGTGACCTTATTTGGAAGTAGGGTTACTGCAGATGTAATTAGTTATATGAGGTTATTAGGGTGGACCCTAACTCAATATGACTGAGGTCCACATCAAAAGGAGAAATCTGAACAGAGAGAGACACACACACACAGAGAAGACAGTATGAAGAGACATGAGGAGAAGATAGTTATCTACAAGCCAAAGAGAGAGACTTGGAACAGATCCTTCTCTCACAGCCCTCAGAAGGAACCAGCCTTGCTGATACCTTAAGTTTTGACTTCTAGTCTCCAGAACTGTGACACAAAAAATTTCTGTTGTTTAACCCACACAGTGTGTGGTATTCTGTTAGGGCAGCCCTAGCTGCCATAATAAAATACATCAATTATAACTAATACAATGATATCTTATGTCTTGGAAAAGAGAAAAATATATATTCTGGATGGAGTAAAAATTTAAACTCTAAAAATACCCAAAATTATATAACAACAAAACAAAACCTGGCTGGGAAGATTTTTATTAATAATTTTTTTAAATTAATGTATTTATTTTTGGCTGCATTGGGTCTTTGTTGCTGCACGCAGGCTTTCTCTAGTTACTGGGAGCAGGGGCTATTCTTCCTCGCGGTGCACGGGCTTCTCATCGCGGTGGCTTCTCTTGTTGTGGAGCATGGGCTCTAGGGGTCACAGACTTCAGCAGTTGTGGCACGTGGGCTCAGCAGTTGTGGCTCGCAGGCTCTAGGGCGCAGGCTCAGTAGTTGTGGCGCACGGGCTTAGGTGCTCCGCGGCATGTGGGATCTTCCTGGACCAGGGCTCGAACCCATGTCCCCTGCATTGGCAGGCATGTTCTTAACCACTGCGCCACGAGGGAAGCCCTTTATTAATAATTATAGAGAAGGATTTTTAAAGTATAACATATAAAGAAGAGAAAAGCCGCATTTAGAGAATCAGAGAATGTCAGAGTTCTTGAAGATTCTAATCCAATCCCCTCATTTCATAGGAAAGAAATCTTAGCTTCTTCTAAATCTAACAGTTCTCCTATATATATGCAATAGTTAGGAATATAATGAAATACATCAATTATAACAGCAATATTGAAAAACACACTTAAGAAATATGCAGGAAACATTCACGAGAAAACTATAACAAATTATTGACATGACACTGAAATAAAGGACTTGGGTAACTGCAGAGCCAGAGGTGTTTCTGGAGGGTAAACTATTTTAATTATGCCACCATTATGTATGTTCATAATAGTTGTCACCTAATAGTGGAATCTGAGTGATTTGTATTATTTTAAACTACTTGGAGGGTTTTCCCCTAATTATTCCATTATTATCAAATATTGCTTTCAGAATGAAAAAAAAATTAAATATCAACATTCCCCTGCTTAAAAGACTCCTTTGGGTCCATCCTTGCATATATAATTAGTCTCATCTCAATCATCTCAATGTTAAGGTTTCTCTCACCCCACATCAAGTCTCATATTCACACCATCAAGCTGCCAAGCATTCAGTTTGTTCCCATAACAACCCCTTTAGTTTTCCCACTTTACATATGAGAGAATTGAGGATTACAGTGGTTAAGTCACTTCTTGCCAGAGGTTACACTGAATATATGACTGATTAACTGTCAGATTTAAAAGCTGGTGTCCTGACTCAGTAGCTGGGTTCTTGACCACTGTACTTATTCCACAATGCCTTCCTTGATACTGTAAACAAGACCTTTTATATTTTATTACCTTAATGCCACCTTCAGACAAACTTGCCATGAGACACCCTCCGCTTTAGTTTTCCTCAAATTCTCAGCCTTTTCTACTTTTTCAAATGCTGTTTCCTATCCTCATCCTACTTCCTTCATGATCCAGAGTTTAATAATCTTTTAAGACTCTTATCCTTGACTTATTTATAAAGCTGGCTGCTCCCCCTTATCGACTATAAAAGTCCCTTGCTCCCATGTCTATTATAGAGCTTTTATGTGTTAATGTTAGTTTCCACATCTGTTCACCCCATTTTTCTCTGCATTCTTCCCAAGAAAAACCATGTGTAACTCTTGAGATATTTCACAGCCAGCCAGCACCTGTGACATATATTGACTACTCAAGAAATGTTTGCTAAAAAAGAATGAATGAAAATTATAGAGAATAAAATAAATTTCATGCTTAGTTAAGAACAGTTTTGTGCACTGTCAATAATATTCTTGTGATCTAAAGAACAGTAACATGTGGAAGATAAATGTAGAATGTAGAGGGAAACCATTCTGATAAGGAAATTAATAAACGTAATGCTGACATTCTAACTTTGCTTTATCAATGATACTAGAATGCTTTAATATACTAAATATGTATAAATTTTGTTAATTTTGAGTAAAATAGTGCATAATCAGTGGAAAATTGTACTTTCCAATCAGCTACAAGCAATTTTTACTGCTTGAGTGACTGGAAGAATGGAAGAGATGGAGGAAATGGAAGGGGAGTAGGTGTTAAGAGGGAGAAAAGAAAGATAGATATGTATGAAAATGATGACTTCACTTCTGGACTGTATGGAAAAAATATAAATCTTTCTTCCTGAGCTAATAAGCAAGTTAATTAGCCATGATAGTTGGATTTATTGGGCCAATAAAAAATCCATTTTCATCTTTAAAGCAGCTCTAACAGAAATATAAAGCCAACCAGATAAGTAATTTTAAATTTTCTAGTAGCAACATTCAAAAAATTATTTTCAATAATATATATTTATCCCAGTATATTCAAAATATCATTTTAACATGTAATCAATCTTTAAAAATTATTAATGAATTTCTGCAATTATATCTTCAAAGCCCACTATGTACTTTACACTCAAAGCACACTTCAATTCAGACTAGCCAATTTCAAGTGCTCAATAACCACATGAGATATTGGACAGCACAGCTCCAAAGCTACTGAGACCCAAAAAGGAAAAAAACCTGTCTTTTCACAATAGAACTCATTTGTTAAGCTCCACTGTAAAATATACATAAGAACTCCTAATGCAAAAGCTGATTCCAAGATTTGACAATAATAATGATATAATAATAATAGCTAATACTTAAATATAAAACAAACCATCCCCAGTTACTGTTCTAAGTGTGGTTTTTACTCAATTTCCACAACAACCCTATGAGGATTACAATCTCCATTTTACAGATGAAGAAATAATTCCAGTCCACAGGGTATACTATGGATCTGCTAAAATAATAAAGGAGAATTCTATATACCAGCATAGGAAGATATTCAAAATGCATACAAAAATTTTTATACTGGACAGTAAAGTTAAAAATCAAGTTGCAAAACAGAATGTTTACTATAACATTATTTTTCCCCAAAAAAGGAACAAGAAAGTAAGAGACACCCCTGGCACTGGTACTATTACACATGTATGCTCCATCACAAGGTTAGAAACAAATGGTTAATACTGATAATCTCAGGAGGAGGGGAGTTTAAGTTAAAAGGTACCTCAGTGTTTAAATTTTTATCTTTTTATATAGTTAAAGATTTTTATACCGTATATATAGTGAATATTGGCAGGGAGAAAAAATAACAGACTGTTAAAAACAGAAACACAGAGAAGGAACTAGCCCCAAGTTAGACAGTAATCCTACAAAATCTGAAACCATAGTAAAGGGTACAGAGCTTCAGTGACCCTTGCTCTCCAAAGCTCTGCCAGACAATTATATTTCAAGAACTACTTTTTGAAAGAAATATGTATTTTGGAAGACCATTCAAAATGTATCCATCTTATATTATCTAGACTTTATCGGTAGAGAAAGCTGGCCAATAGGAAGCCTCTATAATCAATCTGGTCCTCTAAAGAAGAGGTCAACAAACTTTTTCAGTAAAGTATATATTTTCAGCATTGCAGGCCATATGGTGCCATTGTACTACAAAAAAAGCCATAGACAATATGTAAACAAATGGCATGGCTGTGTTGCCAATAAAACTTTATTTACAAAAACAGTTGGAGAACTGAATTTAGGCAATAGTTTGATGACTCCAGCTCTAAAGGATAAAGTTAAGGACTTTGGCTATGACATTATGATAACTTCCCTCTAAAAGAAATCATTCTGTGATACAGCTACAAGAAATTTATAATTGCATTTACCACAGGAGTGTTGGAAAGAACACTGCACACTCCACCACCTAGAGAAAGACCCAAAAATGAAATCTTAGTCTTATATGGCAAGAAATAATTTCTTCCCATGGGAAATGTATCTGTCTACATATTACCTAGCAACTCTTTCTAGGTCTGGGTCTTTATTTTGGCTGTCTTTCCCTGATCCTAATTTTAGCTATCTTCATTTTTCCATTTGATTGTATGAAGAACCAAAATAAGAAATTAAAAATTAAAGAAACTCACCTGGGACTTCATCATTTTCTGTTCTCTTCTAAAAAGGTAGATGCCTGAAAAGGCAAAATTGGTGATCAGAAGGATGTTTTCACAGATCAGACGCAGACTGCAGGTTCCACATTCACCAGTCTAGAAGCAACTACCACAGAAGTCAGGTAGATGTTAGGCCAACCTGTGGGAGAAGACTGTTCGGTCTTTATACAAAGATCAGCACGTATCATGTGAAGGAAGTCCTCTTGTGACTACATACTATGATCATACAGAACTTGGACAAGGTTTTTTAATTTAATTGTATAGATGTGAACATATGTTTCCTGTTGATTTATTAACAATTTATTTTCTCCACTATGAACCAGCAATTCCACTCTAATGTTTTCATAAGGCAATACACACACACACACACACACACACACACACACACACAAAGATGAAGCTCCCCGGCAATAAGAATGGGTAATGAGCAAATGAAAAACTGAGGAATGTATTCCCTTATTCCCCAGAAACGAATCAGCAGCTGAATTCTAATAATCTCCCAAGAGCTCTCATATTTTCCTTCAACTCAGCAGACTTTCCTGCCAATCAATATTCATGGACCAAAATGTTAATTTTAAGATGTTTTCCATTTAAATTTTTATTGCTGATTTCAACAGTATGGTTGTCTGCATAGAAAAATGGTGGTATGTTGGAACCACTGATACAACGGAATATACCCTAACGTAAGAAGGTACATACCTGGGAAATCCTTCTCAGTCCCAGAAGGAGTCAGGTAGGTAAGACTTAACTGGTTCAGAGGAAGTGGGTGCTCCCATGATAGACAGACTGTTTTATATGGGGTATTCCAGGCTTTGTCAAAATAGATCTGGAAGGAAACAACCAGGAGAAATAGTCATACTTATCTCTGGGCACCCAAGAGGTGTTCAATAAATGTTTCTTGAATAAAATACAAAATGATTTCAATAAACTTAGAAAGAGGTAGGACGAAAATCACACTTTTCATAATAATCCTATCTTTTTTGATTTGTTTGGTCTTGTTTCAAAATGATCATTTTTATGCGGGGCACCAGACTAAGGGCATAATGGTTGAGAAGAGATTTGACCTTTAAAGTTGCGTATGACCTGTGGAAATTTTAATGTATGTAAAAAACAGTAGGGCTGATCATCAAGATTCCCTGATCCCGTTACTGCTCCCTCCAAATCTCTGAATCCTCGGACCTAGCAATCACATACCCCACAGATCTGCCCCATGCCCACCACATCACTGACTGCCACATGGATGCCCTCATCATTTAGTCCACAGCCTCCCTCACCAATCACTGATTCCTCAGAGTCCCCTAAATCCCTGACCCAGTCATCACCAGTCAGTCCCCCTACACACCATTTCTGATCCCACAGACAACCCCGTCACTGACACACCGTTATCCAATTACTAACCTCACAGCTCACCCCATCCCTGACTCCCAAATAAGCCCAACCCTAATCCTACATACCTTCCCCACCAGTGACTCCATCAGTCTCCAATCACTGACACTCACGGACCCCTACCGTCCCATTACCAATCCAAAAGACTCACTCCTCACCACACATGTCCGCCTTCTGACCTGCAGTTCCGTTATCAGATCTAGAAACGCCCGTCACGGCTTAATCCAGGACAGCTGTCACATCCATAGCGGCGAACTCTCACGCTTCCTGTCTGGGTGAGCAAAGCACTGGGCTCCCGGGCCTGCGCTGTTCCGTACCGGGCAGCTTTGCCCACTCCGCACCCTGGGCGGCTTTGTTCAGGAGACAATATGGCCGCTCCCATACGCTGTGTCTCAGTGGGAACCGCCATCTTGAGAGGCCGGCCGGTTCCGTACAAGCAGAGGAATTCGGTTTATTCGGAGGCTGGGCTGTACCACCGCGGCAGCGAGGGGAGGGGGAACAGATGACATAAAGGAGAATTATACAAACCAGTAACATGCAAAATTTTGCAGAGAGATTTTATAGGAGGACTGGGTAAGAAGTTTGAGTGAATGTCCTCTATTAGAAAGCTTCATTTGGTGGAAGAGGAAGAATTTGGAAGAGTAAAATATTCTCATTGGAGACTTTACCTAAAAGTGTTTGTAAATGGCACAGCCCTCTACCGGGAGATTCTACTTTCTGAGAGGGGTGAATGGAGATTCCACTGTGGGAAAAAGGGGCCAGAGTGATGGAAGAGTTCACTGAGGAGCAGAGAAAGAGGACACACAGAAATAATGAACTTTACGCTAAAAACGATTATAAGGAATTCTCTAGGGGAAACTACTACTACTGCAGTAACAAGTTGCAGAGGCCGACTGAAGAAAATAAAGTGAGAGGGAAGAGGAGATGAGAATCAGAGACTAGGAGAAAACAAGAATAATGGGGGAAGGAGAAGCTTGTGGAGACAGAGAGATGGGAAACTTAAGTGTGAAAAATGGAAGCACAGGAACAGAAGTGGGAAACCGGACACAACACGGGAGACTGAGACCGAGAAGGAGGAGACTAAAACAACAGAAGGAAAGAAAAGAGAGGAAGAGAGTGAGGAGGTTAGACTTCAGGGGAAAAAATCACTTGATTAAAAAAAAAGAACGAACGAAACACTTATCGTAACCTTTACCTTACATCAAGCTTTTTTACTTAAAAAAAAAGGCATACTAACAAACTGATGTTTCCTGTACATAAACAGATACAATTTTGAATCATAGATTTCACAACAGCCATGATTTCTGGCTTGTGTGTAATTAAATGAGCAGCAATTTTACATTAGCAGTTTTGTTTCCCATGTCAAATAAAAACATGTCTGGATTTAGATATGAAGAGATTTTATTCAGAAAGATTATTGCAATAGGGAGAATGCACCAATCTCAGAAAGCTGCAAGCACCTCACAAAATCAAACAGAAAAAGGCTTTTCTTTAGTAGGGAGGTGTAAGAAGGGTTAGCAGGAACTTTCAAGAGATGGAGGTGTGCAAGTGGCAAAACCAGGGTACTTTAACAGGAAATGTTTCTAGGGTCTTCGGATTCTGAGAGTAAGCTGCTGAGGGAGGATGTTGCGCATATCCTTACCCTTTAATGTATGTTTAAACTTGGGGGCAAGCCAAAATTTAGGAGTATGAGGGGAGGAAAAAGGCCTAAAATTTCGTCAAGACAAAGAAGAGGGTCAGAAATGGGCAACCAACAGCACTCCAATTTAAACTTCCACAGTTACATCAATCTTTATTGAACGTCTTGTGCGTAAGACACAGTAGTCACTCACTGTGTTATGCACTAAGGGTATAGTAATGATTAATTCAGAATCCTAAAGCAGTGATACCAGTGGAAGTTGATATGGGAAGGGATCAGATTGTGCAGAGCCATGTAGAAATTGTGAAAATGTTAGCTCTTTATCCTAAGCATGATGGGAAGCTGTCCTTATTTTAATATTTAATTTAAAAAGAAGGTAGAGAGGAGTCCTCTCCTATAATAAAAGAAATAAAAATTAAAGCCACAGTAATTTACTATTTCTCATCTATTACCTTGTTAAAAAAAAAAGTATTCTTAGTTTGGAAATACACAGTGTTAGTAGAGTCATGGGAACCTGGAATTCTCATATGTTACTCATGGGACAGAAAAATGGTATAGCCCCTATACAGAAGATTTAGCAATAGTTAACAAAACTATATGTATTCATTATCTATTGCTGTGTAACAAATTACCTGAAATTTAGCAGTCTGAAACTATATACATTGTTGTAGTTAACTGTTTCATAGTTTCTGTGATTGGAGAATGTGGGAATAGCTTAGCTGGGTGGTTCAGGTCTAGTCTGTCATGAGGTTGCAGTCAAGCTGTCAGCCAGGGCTGCAATTATTTCAAGGCTGAACTGGAGGAGGATATGTTTCTAAACTCGATCAAGTAGCTGATGACAAGCCTCAGAATTTCAATTTCCAAGCTCAGTTATTCACCATGGGGGAATTTCCTTCGGCTACTCTATTATCCTCATGACATGGCAGGGGTCTTCCCTCTCAAGCCTCCCTCTTAGTATGGAAGCAGGCTTCTACCCACACCAGTGAGTCAAGGGAAAGATAGTGAGAGAGCACACACAAGATAGAAGCCATAGTCTTCTTATAACCTAAATTAAAAATGACATCTCATTACTTCTTTTGTATTCTATTTCCTGAAAGTGAATCACTAAGGGTGCCCACAATCAAATGAATGGGAATTGAGCTCTACCTCTTAAGGGGAGGATTATCAAAGCGTCTAAAACCACAACACTACATGTAAGCTTTTGCCTTTTAACTCAGAAACTCCATTCCAGGAATATATCCCAAATACACATTGGCAAAAAAAAAAAAAGTTACTCATTGCGCTACTATTTTTAATACCAAAAGACATCAGTCAACCCGAACATCTACTAACAGGTCTAGCTGTATAAATTACAGTATACACACAAAACAGTACTATTCAGCTGTAAGAGAGAGACAGAGAGAAGTGTCTCTACGTACTAATATGGAGGTAACTTCAGGATATAATGTTATATGAGGGGAAAAAAAGTAGAAAAAAATGAAAATAGTTTGTTATTACCATTTATTTTCTAAAAATGTGAATATGTATACAGTTAATTCTACTTATTCATGGTAGCTATGTTCAGTTAAGTTGCTGCAAACACAGAATTAGTGAACACTGAACCATTTCTCCAAAGGGGAATAAATCAACATAAAATAGATTATAATCTTAAATTACAACTTTGTATAATTAAGATTATAACCTTAAAAATAACTTATGTTGGTGGATTCTATTTTCTTTATTTTACCAAAAAAAACCCCAAGGTTCAGAACAGTTAAGTAATTTGCCTGAGGTCCAGTAACAAAGGCCAGAGTTAGATTCAAACCCTATCCAACTGACTCCAGAGCTGGAGTTTCTTGCACTACACTGAACTGCCCCTACCATCCCCATCATCTGTTCTTCTCTGTATGAGAGCTGAAACAGGAAGGCAGAGCATCCCCTTGTTTAAACTCAGCTGGGAATGTGTGCATGTGGTAACTCAAATTTTTTGCTACTCTGTGCATGTCTGCCAATGACTGAAAAAGCACTGTGAGTATCGATTTTGAGATTATAAATACATTTTAGCAAGTAGGTGAATTTGCTGATACAGAATCTGTGAATAATGAAAATCAACTGTATGTTTACCTTAAAAATAAAAAGCAAATGATGGAAGAATAAGCCATCAAATAAAATATAATCTACAAAAGGTATTATTAGTTATCTATTGAATTGTAGCAACCTACCCCAAAACTTAGTGGCTTAAAACAACACACATCTATTGTTTCACAGTTTATGTTGGCCAGGAATCTGGACATGGATTATCTGAGTCCTCTGCTTCGGGGTCTTCTACAAATCTATAATCAAGGTATTGGCCCAGGCTGGGGTCTCTTTCATCTGAAGACTCAAATGGGGAGAGATTCATTTCCAAGCTCAACTACACGATTGTTGGCACAATTTAATGCCTCAAGGATTGTTGGACTAAGGGCATTCATGTCCTTGCTGGTTGTTGAGAGGAAGCCACCCACAGTACTTTGCCATCCAACTTACAACTTGCTTATCTATGGAGTCAAGAGAAGAGTCTGTAAGCAAGATGGAAGTCACAAACTTTTATAATCTTATTATCAATATATAAATGACATCCCCTCTATGTTGCCATATGCCATTGGTTAGAAGCTGCTTACTTATGCAGAGGGTATTACAAAAGGCCATGAATATCAGGAGGTGGGAATAACTGGCTACCTTAGACACTTCCTACCCCAGGGAGGAAGGAAATAAGATAGAAGGGACAGAAATCATACCTAATTTTCTTTGAATATACCATGTTCTGTTGATTTGACTTTGTAACCACAAAAAATTTTACATAATTATAAAACAAAATTAAATTTTATAAACCAATTCCAAACTTCTGTTTCTGATCAAAGTGAAGTAATAGGGAACGGATGGGAACTTTCACCTGAACCAATGGAAAAACCAGAGAAGTGTATGAAGCAATGGCTTTAAAGGTATTAGACATCAGGCTGTGAAGGACAGTGACCCTTGAGAGATGGGAAACAAATTGAGGTGACCCCTCTGCCCAGTTTACTGCCTTGAGAACACTTCTAGGTATGACACAGGACAAGAGAGTCCAGGCAGGGGCCAACAGACTTCCAGAGTGGAGGAGAAAGAACTAATAGTACAGAAAGACCAAGGCAGCTATATTCACAGAGCAGAAGCCAAAGAGGAGAAAGCTGCACAGAAAGAGAGCTCCAGAGACTTGCAGAGGGTCCACTTCTAGTATTTAGGAGCGTACTGGTCAGTGCATAAATGTAAGGAAAATCAGAGTCTGGGAAAACAGACACCAGAAAGGAAGGAGGAAACAGTAACTGAAGCTCACAAAAAGTCAAGATTAATGCCTGTCCCCACCAGCCAGACTGGAAAACTTTACAATTCCCTGGCAAGAATACACAGAAGGGTCTTGCCTTAATAGTGGGAAATTATTAGCTCTGTATTTAAATCTTGCTCTGGTGCCACCTAACAATTGTTTCCAAGTAACCTAACTGAACTACAGAAAAAAGCTTCAAAAATATGTATTGGAACACAGAAGTATCTATCATCCAACAAGGTAAAATTCACAATGTCTACCACTAAATCAAGAATTATCAGGCATGTATAGAAACTGGAAAATGATACTCATAATGAAGAGAAAAATCAGTCAAAGAAGAAAAAACAGACCAGAATTGAAAAAGATGTTGGAAATTGTAGAGATAGATATTAACAAGTCACTATAGATCTTGCAGTCATTAAAAGGATAATGTGAGAATATTATGAACAACTTCAGCCTCATAAATTTTGCAAGGTAGAAGAAATGGACCATTTCTTCAAACACCAAAA